GTGCCTGTTTTAGACCTACACTGTTGTGAGACGAACCCTGTCCTCTAGACCTAGTGCTGATTTCTCTTCAGGACTGTCAGAGGTTTCAGGAGATTAACTTTACACTTGGTGTAATGAATCCCACTTTCTAGATCCCAAGTTAAGCAGGATTCAAGCTTAGTTACTAAAGAGATGATTACAAACTCTCTGCCTCCAAAACACATTTAACATTTGCTGTGAAGTTTCACATCATTGGCTGAGCTATCCTAAACTGCGAGATGTCTTCTGAGAGATGAGAACAGCTTTGTGCACCCCAAGGTAAGCTCCAAGAACATCCATAAACTACCAGTTTCGTCCAGCCACTGCCAAAGGCAGCCTCACTACTAGGTTTATTTTAAAGCCCCCTCACCAGAAGGGACTGCCTGCAGCCAGATGGAAACTAGGATGTGTCTGTTGAGAGACAAAGTCCTCAGCATACAGATGGGAAAATAGAGAGGTGGAACCCAGCAGATGGTGGGGGCAAGACAGGGCACCAGTAGATGGCCACGTTCTCCCTTTCTAGCTGTGGCTCAGAGCACGAAAGAATCACTCATAATTTTAAGCCTTAGAGCCACACTACAAAAAAAAATGACACTTAAAGAATGCTTTGCCAGACAGCAATATGCTGAGATGCAACACCATTCAAAACTTCTCACTCTTGTCTAAAAGTAAGTAGTGCAAGTGCAACCCAAATGAACTTCAAAGAGTTCTCTGCTGAAATTCCCATTTACTCTGCTCCATGTTCTCACATCATGACAGAACAGCTCACACCTGAATTTCTGATTAATTGTTGATTATATATTCTTTGTACACCACAAATCAGACAAACAAACAAAAGTAAAACCACACTCCTCTCTTTCTATCGTTGATCCTTTGATCTCAGTTCTTGAGAAACCAGGGTAACAGCTGGTCTGGGTCACCAGATTGAAACAGAGCTGCTGCAGCATGCTGTGAACCTGACCCATCATCTGTAAAAATATCCTTTCACTAGAGTTCAGAAGATCTTAACAAGGGTGCAAGTCAGTCTAGTTTCCAGTACAGGAGCAAAAGTTCAAGATGTTATGCGTACAAAAACAAGACAAAAAAAGTGTTAAAAATTTTTTATACAAACATTGATCTTTTTCTCTGCAGAAAGTAACTTTTCCCGATTATTTTATATTACCATCATTTATGCTAATCCCCTGTATTTATCCATATATAAGGATACAAATGTTCATAAATATTTTATCTGTATTTATGTGTAAAGGAACACACTGTCCCATGGTTCACCATTATACTGACTGATAAGATCTGGGACACAGTCTGGGGAAAGAAAATATTCTCTTTATTCACAAGAAAAAGCTGCTGCAAGAATGACAGACTTAAGTAAAGCTACCAGCTGGCTGGCCTGTTAAGAATACAATTGCACAAATAGATGGGAGTTTCTTGGTTTAATCAGGCCATATGAAAAAGGTCAGCACTGAAAAAACCTTCCATGCATTATCTGGTTTTGATAAGGGGCTTTAATATTCATCAGATTAAAGACTAAAGGAAAAGGTTGTTTCTAAGAAGATACTAGATAGCATTCTTACACATCTGAGTTGCCACTCAAAAATGTAATCGTGATTTATTAAGGACTGCAGAAAATACAATCATTGGCTACTCATTTTTATTCTGACCCATAGCAATGAGAGTCCTGAGCAAGAGACTGAGTTACCATGGTCTGAGCCTCCAATTTCATCACCAGATCTTGTATAAAGATTTTTACAATATGAAAAAAGCATTAGATAGGAACTGATAGGCTTCCACAAGAACCCATTTCCCTTTTCTCCAGATGTTTTAACACCATGAGCACCTAGAGCTAATGGTGGCATCACTTCCACTGAACACCCTAAGTTTTGCTCCCTTTTTTTTGCCTGAGCTGCATCATCATTTTATTTTCCAAGTTTATCTTTCAGGTAGCCATTAAAATGCACTGTGTGCACTATTTCAGGTTACTTCTTCCATGTACTGCATATATATTCTATGTCTAAATAACACTTCTTTAAAAAAAGAGAGAAAAGAGAAAACTTTGCTGCTAAAATAAGATATTTTGGCTTTAGTACTGGTGAGTTCAAGCATGGAAAAAAGAACAGCAAAGATTACTTGAAAGTATTAACAAGAATGAGTTTACGTGAACTGTTGATCCCAGCAAACAGCTTTGCCACATTTCTAACAAGTTCTTTGTAACTGAAAGGGTCTTGATGGAAATCAGGCTCTGAGAGTGCGGGTTAGTAGGATGTATACTGATGTCCAGTTTCCCTCTAGGCGTGCAGATAAACCCATCAAGCTCAGATAATGCCATTTCACTTGAGCAGTCCTTGGATACCAAGCAACAGGTAATTAACACAAATCAATTGTTCAGATATGTTATTTAAGCATGCTTGCTGTTACCAGCCCTCAATTTCAAAAAAAAAAAAAAAAAAAAAAAAAAAAATTATGGAATAAGAGGAAATATTAATTGTTCTATATGAATCACTCAGCAAGCTCAGACTCCCAAAGGGCTTCAGCTTGGCAGGACACCAGTATACAAACACTGGCCTGCCACTGTACAACTTGGAGCTGGTTTCTATAAATGACAGTGTTTAAAGAATTTGAAAGACCTTGTTGCTGATACAAACCATCATCTAATCTTTTACACCAATTAGCAGAAAATTATTTGGCATAATATGACTATCATTCCTCATTTGCCTATTCAATGTTAAGATGAAATGGAGTAGGACAGAAGTTTCAAAAAGAAAGCCTTTAGATGATCCATCTTTCCTAGGGCTGTTGTAGGTAACACTGTAAATGAACGCTGCTAAATCATTAGCATTCCTCCCCTGCAGTATCTAAAATCTTGCATTTTTACTTAGCAGAAGTAAAAAGCGATGGATAGAAAAGTCAGAACTTTGTTATCTGCACATCTTTAATTTTTTTTTATTGTTGTAGGAAGAACGTGTTTCTTAAAGAATTAAAAAAACCGAAGGATTTTAATTCAAATCTATGGCTTGCAAAGCAAAGCTACAAAGTGCCAGCAAATAATCTATTGGCCTTCGGAATTTCTTGAGTCCACTACATGTTATGCAGCTCCTTTTTGGAAATATGTCTGTAAGTGTCTGTTCCCACAATTAAAACTGTGCGTGTCTGCAGACCTTGTTCAGGAAACAACTAATTTTAACAGAAGGAAAAATGGGGCCAAATAACCTATTTAGCTGTAACACGAAGCATAATAGATAAACCATAGTTAAGTTTGACAGAAAGAGAGTGGAGTGGGAAAGGCTTCATTTCATGGTAAGATACTATGGTATTTATGATAACAGGCTATCTTACCATCACACAATATTATGATTAATACCCTTATTATTAACATGCTTCATGTATTATCATCTGACCTCTAGCCGAACTGAGCTACCAGTTCATGTAATTTGCTGTCAGCAAGATGAAGCTCCAAAAAAGTTTTCACTAAGTGCTTTAAAGCATCATTTTATCAATATGAAAGTTGTAGTGTCAAGTAATGTGTTTTTCTACATTGAAATATCCTAGTCTTAAATAAAACAACTTGTGACAGGACATCAGCCAGCATTAGAAAGAATAGGAAGCCAGATTAGAGCAGAATTCCAGATGTTAGATACTCATAGATGTCTCTGCTTAAACAGTGCTTTAAAACATCATTTTCAGAGTCTATTTCCCTTGACACTTGGTGTGTATTTTCTAAAGAGGTTTTGGATGAAGACCAATTCAGTTACTGCCGTAAGCAATTGCTCTGCTACATTACTGAGCAAATTAAGATGGGTTTCCCACCACGAGGCGTGAATATGTGCATTAATACTTTTTCAAAACCAGTCATTTTGTTTCTGGCTTTGGAGGAGCAGCATCAAAAAAAGCAATAATGCATTATGAACCAATTGGAGGTAATCAATGAAGGCAGAGAAAAAACACAGAACAGTGTCACAAATTAACGTGTGTTAAAAAATGCCCTTTCTTAATAAAAGTGATTAAAAATAATGATAGCTAGGAAATTTGAATAATTGAGTTTCCAAAAATATCAGCCCTGGTTGGTACGATCCCAACATAAATGGCATAAATTAAGTGTTTAGGGTAATTTGCAATCATGCTCTGTTAAATTTTCCAGACTCAAGTTATCTTGGCTCACACATGCCTCCTTCCTGCTCCCCCCCATTACCTCATGTTCCATCAAAGGTTCACACAGACCAGACCACATCTATTTCTGAGTCAGGTTCACAAGGAAGCTCTACCACAGCTATGCTAGAGCAGCTGGCCTGGCACTGCCTTCACTTGTTTACTGCAGGAATATAGGGGTTTGTCATCTCAGTATCTACCCCAGGAGCTCTGTTATGGCACTCACAATGCCCAAGCAGTCATCTAAAGAAGCACTTTGAAACAAGTCCAATAAAACTGCTAAAATCAAACCGGAATTCGAATAAAGGGCTTAAAAGTAACAATTGAAGGATGCTGTTTTATGGATAGTACCATCTACAGGAACACACAGAATATCCTGTTGTAAGTCAGCTCATTGAAAGAAAAAAAGAAAAAAAAATCCCACAACATTAAGGAATTACTAACAGCAGAACTACTGTCACATTTACATAAAGTAGGAATTTAGGAAGTCCATGCCACAATATCTCCGTCACTCAAGCCAGATATTTTTTCAGAACTTGCCAATGCACTCTGAAGAAATAGGTTGTATATAAAAACAAAAGTGATTTAATAGATTGTTTCACAGTTAAAGGAAAAACAAATCATAGACAAGCGGTAAAGCAAAAATTGAGAAGCACCCTGGCTGTTGAAAACTCTGCTGGTTTCAGTTATCTAAAGTCTTCTAACAAATTCTGATCTTAAAAATGATTAAAGCTCTCTTTCATGTAAATTTTCCAGGCACCTCAAACATCTAGTAAAATATTTTTTTTTGTACATACAAAGTAGTATTGCAATGGGAGTATCACATTGCTAAGCTGCTTTACCTTGTTTTATTTCTGAGGTTTTTATTCTTTCCCATGCAGCTGATTTCTTCCCACAGGATTTCGACCTTTATTACTTGCTGACAACATGTCTGACAAAGAGCTTTTTGCTGTGGTAGCTGAGGTTGAGCCATCTGTTTTTTCTCTAGAGAGCCATGCATTATTTGTAATGACATCTTTCTCTTTAATTCCCTGGGGAATAGCACTTGCATGCTGATTTCCTATTTGACCCCCAAATACATCATCCCATTTGGACAAGCAGTCCCTCCCCTGCATGGACCAGTCACGCTTCGAAAGCTCCAGTGTGTCCTTCATCTTTGGGAGTGGAGGCCAAGGTGTTTCCTCATGAGTCATGGACAGGTTGGGGTCAGCCTTTGAGTTTGTATTGGAGGAGACAAATGAAGGCATCTGAGGAGGAACAAAGAAAATATAACCTCGGACCACCTAGTGTATTTCTGTATCCCATATGAAAACGTGTCAGTCTGGACACTGTGGTTGATTTCAGTTGTAGCTTCCCATAAAATTCTACAATAGGTCTGTGTCATGCTATTCCTGTGATTTAATCAAAGGACACATGGTGTAAATGTATTAAAAAAATAAATCCAGGTATTATCGAAGATCAGGGTCATCAAAGAGCTGCTTGCATTCTGCTCTCTCTAATAATTTTCCTCTACAACCATATTTTCATCAATCCTTTTTATATATGACTGTGATAAAGAAGACCGCTGGGAAATCAGTTTAAGCTGTCGCATGTAGCCCCTGGATTAAATAATTATGAGTTCTATATGTTACCAGAATTCTGAGTCAACATTTTTTATATAACAAACTTCTTAACTAAAGACAAACATTAACATCTTACTTGAATTTTTTTTTAATGTAACAGTTGAAAAGTAGGAACTACATACTGCTTGTTTTATTTCTTCTATTTTAGCAAGGAAAATTCAGTACAGCAATATTCATAACTGCTCTGGCTAACTGGCTCCAGTAATTACAAACTCAAATTTTGTTTCTGTATAATTATGGAGAGGTTATGTTGTCTTAGACAGGGTGAAATCTCTTGCGTGTTTAGTTTAGCAGCAGCCTGTCACAAATGCAATTGCAATTGATCAACTTTGTTCTAAACAGGATTCCCGCAGTTAATGGAAATTACTGTAAGAGCTTCAGGGCATAGGAATAATTGGATCACTAAAAAAACAAAATGGAGGGAAAAAAAGGTAGGACAGAATCAACACAATAATTCCTTTTTTTTTTTTTTTTTTTTTTTTAACATCGAACAACTTTCAGAGATAACCTTAGCAGAATGTACATGATGAAAACAACTTTTAATCATTTTTATCAAACCATTCTTAGGCAATAAGAAAATGCATAATGAAAAACGTTAAGAATTTGTTATCTTCAGCTTGTTTGAACTAACGATAAAACATGCATCTCTGGAAGAGACCATTCAAATATTTATAGGATCTGTAAAATGACTGTCAAGAACAATACATTTAACTAAAATAAAAACAATGAAATAAACTTTACTGACCTGGCAATTTCTCTGATGGTTTTGTCTTAGTTCCCGATGCAAGGCTATGATCCTCTCTGGACTTGTTAATTTTACAGGAGAACTGGTGTATATATTTGGAGTGATGTGAGAGCTGTGGATGCCATCTGCCTCTTGCAGAAAGGTTGCAGGTATTGACCGCGACATCCTGCTCACTTTGACTGAAGCCTCATGATTCTCTGACTGCCCACTGGCCTCTAAAATGTCTGCGGAAGAAGGCAGCATCTGCAAGACAAAATGTCATCTTTAGAAACTCAGAGTAGATGAAGCTTTCCAGCACTGTTTATTTTGAGTAAGTGGAAGCTGTTTGGATTAATTCATTGCAAGAAACATTCACAGAAATCAAATGTAAAGTAATGATATTTATCAAAATAAGTAGTTAATATACCAATTACTTCAAGCGTGAGGCATTCTTTCTTTCTAAAATGGAATCCTGCATTCCCCAACTCTTCCCCAAGAACTAAAAATTCCAAATTTGCACCTGAATATTTAGAAAAACTAGAAAAAACTAGGAAAAAACCCACTAATTTTAAAGATTTCACAATTTATCCTCTTGAAGGATTTCAACTTCTATAGCATATTTCCTTCACGCATATTATCTTACTCAGCAGCAAATCCAATCCAAGCTTGTCTACTTAAGAATGCTCAAGGAAGTTAAGTTTAATGGATTTTAAAAGTTCAGTTGCACAGACTCTTTGGCACATCCTCTTATTCCATATTTAAATCAACTTAATTGATTTTACTGTACAACAATAAAACTGACATCACATTAAGACAGAAAGGTGGCTTGATTGATAATGTACCTTTTCATAATAGTTGCCAACAGGAAGAGAAGATTTCACTGCAAATAAATGACTATCACAAAGAAGTAGAATTTTATCTTAAATACAAATTTATTAATGAAACAAGATTAATGATACATTCTTTTCCTTGTAATTGCAAAGAAAATGAATTTACAACTTTTAACAATATTTTCAGCCCTTTGGTTTTTGCTTGTTTGAATTACTTCCAAAATTAATGCATCTGATTTCAAGTTATCACTTCGTTGTCATTAATTCTCTTGCAATAATTCCAGAAATGCAAATACTATAAATCCAAATCAGGAATTGTTATTTAAGATAAAACACATTTTACTTACAGAAATGTATTGCTTTTTCTCTCTGTCTTTAATAAGCATTAAGTACATCACTTGTTGTCATGGTTTTATGATTTTTGGTCATCAGTATTCCACACCATAACATCATGTAATGCATTGGGGGTGGGGTTTAATATCTGCCGAATGTTCGTCTGTCGGAGAAGAACTACATTTCCCCAG